TGTGATCGGAGAAATTACAAACAACAAGCGCTACTCTACACTGCTCAAAACTAGCGTTTGAATCATCAGTGGCGAATCCTGAAAATGAAAACGTACTTGCAGTCTGACTCAGAACAGCCAGCATTGTAGTCTACTCTCCCAGGATCAGGAAACGGTCCGCCATAAAATGTGCTGCACACATCTGAATATTTGGGTTGAACTGTTCTGGAACAGTGATGTAAATACAACTTAACCACTGATTTCTAGTCATGTCCTCTTTTGGAAGGCCGAACAAAGTAGTTTCACACGGCGGGCTAGAGTGAGCGGAGGCGGGCTAGAGTGAACAGAGGCTGGCGGGCCTGAGTGAGCGGTGGCGGGCTAGAGTGAGCGGAGGCGGGCTAGAGTGAGCGGAGGCGGGCTAGAGTGAGCGGAGACCGGCGGGCCTGAGGGAACCGCGGCCGGCGGGCTTGCGGCAACCACATGTGACGACCCCGGGCTGGACTCCGCTTCGTCCACGGTGAAAGCCGATCCGGCGATCCACAGCGCAAAGTTACCATCCACTGGAGCAGATTCTAGTCGATGACAGTCAGAGAGGAGCACAGACCTAATGACTGCAGTCAGTTCATTACACGACACAATTAACGACTTCGGGTCACTCACGACTGGACAAATTCTGCCGAACCAAAAAAAACTCACAAAAACCGCAACATCTTCCTGTGCTCTCTCAGTCGCTCCCACCCCACCAAAGACAACACTGCAGACAACACAGGTTTGTTTTACTTTTCTTAGTTTGTGCTTAATATAACAGAAAACATTAGCTTTCCTGATATGTTGGTGTTCCTAATAAATGTCACAGCAATGTGTCTTGAATATGTTTTGCATTAAGTCCGATACTTCTCTTTCTTTTTCGAATTATTGCTCGAGTAGATTTTATACTTATGTCTTCTCAGCATTTGTAGCGCTATTTTTAAATGTTTAGTCAAGCAACAATATATTATTTATCTCATGTATGTCAGGTAGAACGAAATAAAACATTACTTAATAAATTCAAAGCAATGTAATTTCCTCATCCATTTGACACAAAACTATTATATATATATATATATATTTATAATTAAAATATATATAATAATTTTATTTCATCATATTCGTGATTCATGATTACTTTATTAATGATACTTTATTTATTCATGATAAACTTAATTTTGAAGAATAGAAAAATAGGCTCGGCCTGTTCATTATGTTCGTATATTCATTTGTTATTAAGTTGATTTAAAATTCTTGATAACAAATTTGAAGAAGTTAAAGGTCAAGAAACGTTTAATTAGCCTGTAGTCTATAGATAGGCCTATAGACTTTTATTAGACTGCAGATCAAAATAAATAATTCTTGATAATCTTTAAAATGAGAGAAATCACTGACATAATTTATTGGCTAGTCTATACTTTGCAGAAAAAAAACGAAACCATTTAATTTGCAGTGCTAACTTATGAATTGAAAGACAAGAAATAAATCACAACAATAACAATCGAGATTTTTCTTATAATCAAGAAAAAAATTACAAAATGAATGCTGAATGATGTTTGACAGTGAACACATCTTCATTGCATAGCTGCATACAATCGCTGGTGTCAGTCGCAAATATTAAACATCTTTGTGAAAATGACTGGCAACGACTAGACATCACACACTATGCGACTTTTTCTGCTGACTGCAAACAGCGACTGAGCCCAACTGGAACAGACCCGGTCCGACTGGGCACGATCAGTTATCAATACCAAATTCCATTCATAATCGGCATGATAATCGTGTAGTGCGTTCTCGGCTTTAGAGAAGAGAAAGAGTTGTTGCCATGCCGTCAAAACTAGGGGTGCACAGAAAATCTATTCATTCGCGATTCTGTCTTCGAACAATTCTAATGGATTCACAAGTTTCAAAATCAATGTTCTAAAGCAGTGCTTCTTAATCCTGTTCCTCACGTCCTCTGCTCTGCTCTGCATCTCTCTCTCTCTCTCTCCCTCTCCCTCTCATTCAGATCATCAGCTCGTCAGCTCCATCAATGAGTTGTGTTCCAACTTTACACTTTATGTGTATAGACAGACAGATATTTTTCACACAGCTACGAGAAGCGTTAAACATGGATGCGCATGCTGTTGCCATGGTAGCGAGCGCATACTTGCTGGCAAACACTTCTTACTGTTACAAAGTAAATAATTACTTTACAAAAAATCTACAACGCAATCATGTATTCTGCTGTATTAAAACTTTAATCAGGATAAAAACCATATAGTAGAAGCTAACATAAGCAGTAGCATTTACAAATAACAGCATGTTTAAAAGTATGAGACAACAAACAAAAAAACATACCATTCTGAAATGTCCTGTAAGGGCCATGCTTGCACAGGTTCTGCTCGATCCTTTTCACTAATATTCTCTGGGTCTCAATTGGGCTCAAATTGATAAGCAATATATTGACGATGTCATTGTTTACAATACAACTGGAGCACATGCCACTGAGGTGAGGGGTGTTACGTTTCTGGACTGCACTCGGCCGTTTAGCGAATCACACAGCTAACCAATCTGAGCCCATCGCGTATTTCTGAAGGAGGGGCTTCATAAAACCAGGAAATCATCAGAGCGTTCTCAGGAGAAGGGACAGAGCGGTGTAGAATAAAGGTAAATTATGTGAAAAATAATGCGTTTATTTTTTTTAAACTAAGCATTAACACGTTAGACTGCACCCCATAAACACAATCAAGCCTAGAAAAAAGCAGTCAACCACCGCTTTAAAAAAATTACAAATGCAAAACAATGAACCAAAACCCAAAAATCTACAGAGATTTAATGTCCTTAATTGTCCATACCTGTTCCTCACCAAACTTGAGCAGTGCTGCCATGGGATCTGATCCCGGAGACAGGATAAAGATGAGTGGAGCGCAGCAGTGACTGTCAGCAAAAGCCGTGGCCAAATTAAAGGGTGGCACCTCAATAAACTGCTGCCCCAAGTTTTCTGACACAAACTCTTGAACCATGGGAATAATCTGAGATGGGTAGAGACAAGGTCTAAGTCCAAATGTGAATTCTTAGTGAGTACTAAACAATATTCATTCACAAATTCTTATATTTGTACTACACAGTATTACATCTAACAAACGAAATATTGTGGCATATTACTGCAATTTAAGATGACTGTTTTCTGTGATGTCCAAGCTGAATTGTTAGCAGCCTTTACTCCAGTCTTCAGTGTCACATGATCCTTTAGAAATCGTTTTAATATGCTTATTTCTTGCTTAAGAAACAGCTCTTATTGTGCTGTTATTTTTCTGGAAATTGCACATTACATTACATTGCATTTTTTCAGGTTTATTTAATTAATAGAAAGCTCAAAAGAACAGCATTTATTTGAAACAGAAATCTTTTGTAACTATGTCTTTACGTTCATGTTTGATCAACCTAATGCATCCTTTCTGAATAAAAGTATTAATTTAATTTCCTTCAAAAAATGTCCTCAAACTTTTGAATGGTTGCATATAAGACTTTCTGATGTATAATTAGTTAATAATTCAATTTTAGACAGAATTCCAGACCATTTTATTTCCTGATCCAATCCAAGGTGTAATCGTAAACTCAATAGAAAGATCCTTACCTTGTCTGGCCGTAAGCATCTTATAACCAGCATCCTCTGGAACTGTCCTAGTTTCTCTTGCCACTCTGAAGGGAAAGCAGTGTGGTGGGGGTCCTGCAGAACACACACACAGACCATAAAATGAAAAATCTGGTGTTCCTTTCATACTTCCCCTGTCCATTTCACACCGCTGAGCAGGAAAGAAATAGTGTGTGCTTAATCTCAATGGCACCTTGCTATCGTAAACCTCTTTCCAGCCCTCCCGGAGTCGAGCCAGGTCTTTCCGCAGGCCTTTAAAGCGCTCCATCTCATCCAATCGACAGATCTCATCCCAGGATGTCTTAGGCAGCCAGGTGCAGGGGTTCGAATGAGGGTTATCCAGACCCACACCGCCTGTCAGGAGAAAACGCCATTCCTTCTCATCCACCTGAAAGAGAAAGGAACAGAGAAAATTGTCCATGCATAATGTCATTCAGTTATATCTGCAATGAAAATTCTCCTTCACGTAGTCTCGATACAGTTTGTTTTTCAGCAGTTGTGCTTTATTAAATATCCAATTCAAAAGAAAAGAGTAACAGTGAATGAGTCTTAAAGATGCCACCAGAAAAGCCGCAGTCTATGAAAATAAATGTACTGGTGCATCGCCCCCACACCACTTGATTCAGGAGCTGACAAAATTACTGACAGCACAATAAATGGATGATAGACACTTGCAACTTGTGTAACAGCTCAGGCATGGAGAGCCAGTGTGAAGAACATTATGAATCACTTAAACTTTGATTAAACTGGTTAAACTCGTGTTTATGTGGACGAATGTTGCAGGATCATTTAAAATAGGGATGATATAAACATTGTCAGACTGATGCATACAAGTCATTAACCTTAAGAGGCCTTGTGTGAGAGTAACCTCTTCATTCTTACTCTTCTTTATCAGATGAAGTACTGTCTTGCCTTAGCTTATTGATTCAATAAATCACAGCTGTGTGCGAGTGGAGGCAGTTACTCACGAGCTTGTTGTGTTTGAGTAGGTTGACATTGAGGCAGAAGGAGAAGAGCAGTTTGTCCTTCTCAAACAGAGAGCGACATACGTTGACGTAAAGCGAGTATGTAAAATGGTCCTTCAGAATCTGGAGTCTAAATACACAGAGAAAGCGTGGCAGAAATCAGTTCGTTGAGAAGCATTTTGAAAGCATCAAAAGAAAAGTCAAAGAAAACATAGTTTGAGTGATCTGATGTACACTGAACCTGTAATACACATTTTTAAGACTACTACTAGTCATATAAATATGTTTGCTATAAAAGCTTTCCTATTGCTTTCTATCATCAATGGAATATATCAATATCCTTATACTGTAGATTTGACATATTATGATCATCATATTAGAAAGCGAGTATGTAAAATGGTCCTTCAGAATCTGGAGTCTAAATACACAGAGAAAGCGTGGCAGAAATCAGTTCGTTGAAAAGCATTTTGAAAGCATCAAAAGAAAAGTCAAAGAAAACATAGTTTGAGTGATCTGATGTACACTGAACCTGTAATACACATTTTTAAGACTACTACTAGTCATATAAATATATGTTTGCTATAAAAGCTTTCCTATTGCTTTCTATCATCAATGGAATATATCAATATCCTTATACTGTAGATTTTACATATTATGATCATCATATTAGTGTCTATTGACTAGATGAGTGGTTCTAATTATTTTATTTTTTTTTACTCCAAGGCCTCTTATTTAAGTTGATATGTATCTCTGGTACTTCTGCTGTAATAAAAATAAATAAACACAAAAATATGTTGTCAGTTTCTGTGTTTTTGCATTTTAGTATATATGGCAAGCTCTATATTGGGTAAAAACTGTGAAAAAAAACAATCCTTATCCCTATCCAATAAATCACAAAAAATGGAAAAGTCATGGGTCCTTTGAATATTTCTATGGACAGTGTGCTGGAGTCAAAAATGTTGAGAACCACTTCCCCAGTTGGTCCCGGCCACCACCAGGTTGAGAATCACTAAACTAGATTTTTTTGTAAATGTTACTTTAAATAAACACATTTATTTTATACTTTAACACAGTAAAGTATTAAATGACCACCTGCTGCTACTGTAGCAGAGTTTTAAAATGAACTCTCTTAAGTTTTAGAGATCTGGTTTTGGTGTCTCTGTCCTCTAGAGAATTGGCACTGTGTTCTTTTAACCAGAGGATTCTGCCCTGGGCTGAAGTGTCATAGTATTCCCACAGCTCTCAGCTATCAAACTCACATCAGAACGCCATACTGCCCTAGTAAGACAGTGCTGATGGTAAATAGTCATACAGGGAAAAAATATCTTCACATTCTTTTGTAAAAAAGCCTTCCCATGCTAGATATCCAGTATACCACAGAACCCATGTCAGAGATAGTCTCTCTGGAAAATGTAATGCCTTTAAATGGATAGTTCACTCAAAAGTGAATGCTCTGTCATCATTTGCTTAGCATGATGTCATTCCAAAACCTGTATGACCTTGTTTCTTCTGTGGAACACAAGATAGTTTTAAGAATGTTTCGACTGCTTTTGGCCATATAATGAAAGTCAGCGGGGTACAAAACATCATTAGACCCCCCAATGACTTTCAATGTATGGACAAAAAACAAAACAAAACAAAAAAGTGCATTCTGTGTTTCACAAAAGAACGAAGGTCACAGAAGTTTGGAACGACATTAGAATGTGTAAATTATGATAGACCCTTAATCTGAGCGAACTATCCTTTTAAGTGTCAATGTGAGCTAGATATTCAAAGTGCCTTATAGCTGCAACTTTGACTTTTTAAAGCATGATATAAAACATGAAATGTCCAATTACATAACAGACACAATTTAAATATAATATCTGTAGTGACAGAGTACCTTTGTTCGAGAATGTCATTTTTTTGGGAATTATCAATGGACAGGATGAAGAGGTTGATGAACCATGTTAGAGAGTACTGATACATGGGCTCGATGTTGGCCAGGTCAGCGATGGAGAAAAACAAAATAGCAGAGTGGACAGCAATTGGGGTGTAGCCCAAGCGTGTCTGATCAATCTTCAGCTCAGTAACCTCGGCAATGGCCTGTTTCTCAGAGATCTCATTGGCCAGAACCTTAGAAGATGAGAGGATCTGAACAGCAGTCTCATCTTCTAAAATGTTCCCCTCTGAGGCAGAGAGCACTTCTAAGATTTTATCCTCTATTTCTTTCAGCTGCCTACAAAGAAAAGAGAGAGAAAGTACATGGTTAAACACACACAAAAGTACTATACCTGTTAATTTTTTTACATGACTGCACTGCATGCTGCCCTTTGCCCTCACTTCATAAGGAGATCATTATTTACCCAACTTGTCTTGCTTTTATAGACAATATTTTAAGTGAGGAACCCACAGGACTAAACTGTCAGGTTAATTATGTTTCTGGGTGGTACCTCTTGTTCTCAGCCCCCTGTACTAGGAGGGCTTGTTTCTCCTCTTCAAGGTCAGGTCTCTCTCTGGCCACCACAATGCCCAGCAGCTGGTCTTGCATCCCCTCTGGGGTGATCATGAAGTTCAACAGGGTCACCTGAACAGAACAGGACAAAAAAAACACTCAGAGTGCTGGAGGTGGCTGTTCTTAGAATCCTATTTTTAATGAGAACAGACCCTTGTGTTTATTATTTGCAAGAGAATCATAAGGCTTTTTTTTCATAAGTCTTTGTGGATATGGCATAACCAACCACAGAACTAACGTAAATGATATCCTCCAAGATTTTGTGACTGCTTGCTAATATCAGGCCTAATATTTCTCTGATTACTGGCTAAGACACATGTGAGTCTGCGGTGCAACACATTTTGTAGTATGAAGAATGGTAATCCTTATCTTCCACAACAGTATCATTTGTTTTATCCTGTTGTGAACACTAGCTGCTCATCCTAAAAGGGAAATGATATCTCAGGCTCATTAAGGAGTCTACTCTATAGTTGTGAAGGAAACAGCTACAGAATCCAGGTATTTCAATTTTTTCCAAGCATCCAGACCAGCCTGACACAGTAATATTGACTGATTTAGGGCATGACTATTTATCAGATTAAGGGTGTGTTCAGGAAAACCACTTTGCAATTGCCTTTGGTGACCCTAGTGGCAAATAAATTACACACTTCCCCTTTAATTTTAGCCACTGGTCATGTAGACTGCCTGTAACACTTTAAGACAAAGTACAGCTTGTCCCCCTCGGTCCGTTCGCCGCGGGGCCCCCTCAAGCATGGGGCCTGGTGCGACCGTACCAGTTACACCCTCTTAAGGACGGCCCTGTGCATGTTTATGAGTTTATGATAGAACAGGTAGAATAGGCTATGTTCTAATGACATAGCTAGATGCTTTTTTATGTGTCGTGAAAAAAAACTGCATAATTAAAACCAATTTAAAGCAGATTTTATGTAAAAGATTGATAAACTCTTAGCTCCTTTGAAAGAGACTATCAACTCTTTTAAAGAGAGAAATATTCACAGAATTTAACACTTAAGAATTCAATACTTGCAGCATATTAAAATGATTTCTGAAGAATCATGTGAAATTGAAGACTGAAGGTAATGGCTGCTGAAAATTCTACTTTGCAATCAAAGGAATAAATTACATTTTAAAATACATTAAAATAGAAGGGTTATTTTAAATTGTAATAATATTTCACAATATTACATATTACAGTTTTTACTGTATTTTTGAAAAATAGATGCAGCCTTGTTGAGCATAAGACTTCTTTCAAAAACATTAAGAAATTCTCTCAACCACAAACATTTGAATGGTAGCATACATTCTGGTTCATTGTAGCAATCTGGGTTTATTCATCCAGCCCATATAGAGCTGTCAGTAAGCGTGTGCTTAGGAGTGTTTGATTAATTGCATGTTTGATACAGTATGACTAACATCATATTTTTATTTAGATGATCAATCTTATATGACCTTGTTTAGAAGCAGACAAATGTTTGAGTGTATCCGTGTGTGACTTTACAAGTAAAGCAGACTCACCTTAACTGAGACCTCAGGTAAATAATGTGGATTTCGTAGCTTGGTTGTTATGTAAAACCGGAAATCTGGAGCATATTCAATAGTGGAATCACCCAGCCGGATACAGACACTGCCACCCTGTTTAAAAGTCTGTTTCAGCAGCAGGGGCTCAAGTATGGGGTCCAGCTCTTCCCCAACATTTTCCAGCAATACTATAATACACAAGAGATGAATGATTACAGTTAAACCAAACCGAAAATTACAATAAAACAAAACAAAACAAAACAAAAAACAGAGATCTGCAGAAGCATTTATTTGACCTACTCATAAAAAAATAGTCAGGTAGTAGAAGTGGGAACTGAATGAGTGCAGCAGAAAAACAACAACAACAACAAAGAAATTAATAAATAAACTCAATGCAACTCCTAGAGGAGAATGGTAACAAAACAATCCACCTGAGACAGCTAAGGACTGGCCTGCCTACGCAAGCTGCCTTTCATCCTAGAGCTGCACCGATGGGGAGGAGCTGAGGATGGAAGACATAGGCACCTAAGGCCAGGTTACTCGGCTCATTTGCGTATCTCATGTTGCATTTTGGGTCCACCCCTGGGCCTTCTTTGCAAGTGTAAAATTAGACAAAAATTGTGCTTTCAGGCTTAATGCTGCTCCAGGGAAAGAGAGACAATGTGTGCATTGGATGCACATGTTTTTTGTAGATCAGTGATTTGCGCTTGTTTTCCATGGTGGAGGGGGACCCCTGGGGAGAAATACTGGTATTGCACCCTGAGAGAACTTTTTGATGTTCATGTTGTTTCTTCCTTCATTAATTTTTAAGTTTGATTTGATCAAAATAAAATAAAAAATGGCTTGATTGTCAACTACGCTGTTTGATAATGCCTGACAATGAGCAATATTAAGATTTTTAGAGTATTATAAAAGTAAGCTTTATTTGCATTTTCCGAATACTGCTGTCATAAAGTTTAAAAGCTGTCAGTATTTCTCACCTGGAGTGCCAAATTGGATGCAGTTCTCTAATGTGCGCACAAAGTCAGCATCACTGAGCTTGATGACGTGGAGACTGTTGGATTTCTCCATGTTCTTCAGCCACTTGTTAGCCTGGCCCTGAGGATCAATCATTAGGGGCCACCTCCTCGCATTACTGCAGGCAACAAGAAAATCTTAAGAATCCTTCACAAACAACAGCTTCCTGGCCATGACAAATCATCTCCATCATTCAAAATTTCTAATAGCGCAGGTCATGTATTCAAGAATATCACAAAATAATTTCTACTTTTACAGTATTCCTCTACCCGGCAAGTCATCCAAAAGTCATTATTACTGGTAAATAGTAGTATTTAATAACAGTGTGTCTAAAAGTTGTATTTTCTGTATTAATCCATCACAGCAATACAGCCTATTACTAATCGTTAATTATAATATACAATGCAAAAAAATAAAAATACTTTTGTCCAAACCTTGTATTAAACAGAGCTACAGAGTGCAATTCTATGTCTTCTGCTAATCTAGTATGTACTTTCAGTTTTAATTAAATAAGTGCAATCCAGTGTAAAAATTAACATGTTTACAGTGACTGACTAGTGAAAATAGTGAGAAGTTTGCTGCTACGTTTCATCAAAACTGCTCTAGAAGAAATCTCATAAAATATGACCATGGTTTGGAACTTTATGGTTTCTTAAACCTTAAACATCCTAAAATTAAAACAACAAAAAAAGTATTTAAAAATCTGCTCAATAATATAATATTTAATACAAATTGAAGTCTAAAACGGTCAAACTTAAAGGGGTGGTTGATTGCGAGTTCACTTTTTTAACGTTAGTTAGTGTGTAATGTTGCTGTTTGAGCAAAAAAAAAATCTGTAAAGTTACGAAGCTGAAAGTTCAATGCAAACGGAGATATGGTCTTTTAAAATTCTGGCGGTTTAATGTCTACAAAAAAGGCTGGTAGGGACTACAATGAGTTACTTCCCGGGTTTGTGACATCACAAACCCAGTTAAACCCTGCCCTCGGGAAAAGGCAGCAAAAGGGGCGAGGCCATGCTGCACTGCTTTAGAGAAGAGGAAGAGAAAACTAGGGGTGCACATAAATCTATCCATATATGAATCGGTAGCATTTACAAATAACAGCATATCTAAAAGTATGAGACAACAACAAACAAAAAACATAGGCCTACCATTAAAAGCCGTGCTTGCACAGGTTCTGCACGATCCTCTTCAAAAATATCCTCTGCTTCTCAATCGAGCTCAAACTGATAATCGATATTAACGACGCCGTTGTTTACAAAACAACCGGAGCACATGCCGCTGAGGTGAGGGGCGGAACGCATTTAGGTTTAGCCAATCACAACACACTGGGCTAGCTAACCAATCAGAGCCCATCGCCTATTTCTGAGGGCGGGGCTTCATGAAAACAGGAAAAGATCAGCCCGTTTCTCAGAGAAGGGACAGAGCGGTGTGGAATAAAGGTAAATTATGTGAAAAATAATGTGTTTTTTAAAAAACGAAGCATTAACACATGTTAGACTGCACCCCATAAATGCAATCAAGCCTAGAAAAAAAACAGTGAACCACCCCTTTAAAGTAAAAAATATTGTCAAAAAACTCTCACGAGATGATGATTGCGTTGTCAATGGAGAAACTGTCAGAAGGGAGGCCAGCAATGGTCCAGCTGCGGATTTTTACCGGCTCACCCAGGGAGTTCATCAGTGACATGTTCTTGGAGCAGGGAATTCCTCTTGTCTTACACATGTCACTCCACTCCTCTGTAGCTCGCTGTTGATGTCAGACACAGAAACACACACACGGCTCAAGAAAGACAACATGATCACAGCTGCTTTAGACAGTCTGATCCAGCAAAACCACTGATGGGCCTACAGAGAAAACGTTTAATCCTATTTGAAAACACAGATCCATATATCCAACCTTATCTGTTAGTTTCAACCTAATACTGGTATTGTGGACAGAACTATTATCGTTTCGATATCTTTGTTTTTGGTTTAAATCTAATAAAGACTTACTGCACACAAAGGTAATAAGCTGTGTGTCATGTACCTGCACAAAAGCTTATATAAAAAGACCCTCTTCTGGGAGAAAATATATTGCTTTCACAGAGGGGGAAATATTAAAGTGAAACTACTCCCTGTTCCCTGAGTGCTATTTCAAACTCACCATAGCAATACCTGGTATTGTACAAAGTGTTTTCACTGAGTTCATTCATTTTCTATGGAACCTGCTCTGCTGTTAAGAGTAACCAGCTGACAGGGACAAATGTGTACAAATAATAGCTATAGAAGGATATCAAAAACACTGTAATATTGCTCAACCTGGGACGCATAAACTGTACTGAACATGAATATGAATTTCACTCATGTTACAGTGCTTAGACTCAAATTTAATGGAAAAGCAAACAAGGCTTAAGGTTATGTGTCAAATGCAGTTCTGCCAGACAAACCCTCTCCCATATGTCTTTCAATGTTAAATATAGACTCTCTTCTATACTGCAAAATACTGCCAGGATTTTGGAACATTTAGCTATATCTTTGGACAAAAAATATTACATTTAAATTTTTACAAAGACATTAATCGCTCTAATCGCTTACAGTACACAACCATGTTTTGCTGCATTGTGTGATCTGATCTCACAAATGGGAAATACCCACAAGTCTTTGAATAATGTATTATACTTCACTACTTGGGGACATGTAGATATTGTAAATATGATATGGTCAATAGTGATTAGTTTGCTCATTGGCTAGCAAATGCAAAACAAAAACAAAACAAAATTTTGCTTAATATCTGAATTTTTACATATTTGTATTTAAATGAACCAACAGTTCAAAAGACAAAATAAATCAACAAAAAGTCTAAGGAGTTTAAATGTACTAGAATATATGTGTGGATACAAATGTCTCAGCTCAATGACTTTCCCCTTTGAAAATCATTTTAATTAGCACCCTTTTTAAAATCTGTGAAGATATGAACAATGTGGGTTGATAAGCACATGGATTCGCAGGAGAAATGGACTGTTTTATGAGTTAGCACACCTGTCTAAAACTGGAAGTAAAGGCACCCAGATAGGCCACTATAGCAGCAGAGATGAGAATGTCTCCGGTGAGGTTCTTGTAGAGTTCACCTAAGTTATAGGCTGTCTCACTCCAGCGGGTCTTCTCTCCTCCCAACCCACCAATGAGCTGCTCTGCACGCTCTAACTTTTTACTGCACAACTCCACCTACAGAAAAAAAAGGAAAATGAGGAGACTAAAGGATGCATACATACATGTGTACATACATTACTGTTCAAGAGTTTGAGTTCATTAAGGTTTTTAAAGTATACTTTTATTCAGCAAGGGCACAGTAAATTCATAGTAAAGACAAACATAATGTTTCAAATAAATGCTGTTCTTTTAAACTTTCTATTCATCAGAGAACACTGAAATACGTTTTTTTCTCAATCGATTTGACACTTTTCTCCAATGCAGTGTACTTGTTCTCAAAACATTTAACACAGCCATGCAAACACAAAATTATCTTAACCAAGCAAAATGAAGCACTGCAATTGTTTCTAGTAATGCAATTATTAAAATGAAATATTAACATCAAATCTATAGGTGTGTTCTCTATTGATTATTAAACATTTAGCTGTAGATGCACAAATATGCTAATGAAAATACATGTTTATTGCAATTCTTTAACAGGGAGTTTTGTTTTATATATATTGTGTATATCTAAATGAAATAAAAATTGTTATCCAACACCTGCTATCACCCATGAGAAAAAACTAATGGCCCCATTAAACTTAAAATCTGTTTGTGCCACCTTTAGCAGTAAGAACTGCAAACAAACTTTTCTGATAACTGCATATATATATACTGTATGTGTGTGTGTGTGTTTGCAGTATACATGAATTATCCTGAACTATTGATCTTGTCTTTCATTTACATCTGGAAGAGAATTTCATTGCATTTTATCTACACTACATATTTGCTGCGCTTGCATAATAGGAGAAAAAATGTAAGAAGGTTGAATCCATGCTTGAAAAGCTCCTGTCTCAACATCTCGAATATTTATCAGTTTAGGGCCAATCGAAAATATACTACGTGCATTTGATCGAATGACAAATTACAGAGTTATTTGTTTGTTGTGTTTGGACAAATGGTACATAAATGTTTGTGATTTGTGTAAAACCTTCTTTCAGATATTTTAAAGTATTGGTTGACTGTATTAACTATTGTGAAAACATTTGAGAGTTTTGTGCACATTGTTTTGAGAAAATGATTTGCATGATTTGTAATTTGTATAAAATGAATGAAAACGTACAATCTGTTTAGGACAATTACAAAGTATTCAGATCACTGTGTTAACTGTTTTGAGAACAGTGACCTGAGTTCGGTGTCAAACCGATTCAGAAAAACTGTAAATGTATCAGTACAACTGTTTTCAACATTGTTCTGTAAATCAGCATATTAAGAATAATTTCTGAAGGATCATGTGACACTGAAAACCGGAGTGAAAATTGATGACTGATGAAAATTCAGGTTTGCCAGCACACAAATAAATTACATTTTAAAATATATTTAAAAAGAAAACAATTATTAAATGCAGCCTTGTTTAGTATAAGTGACTGCTTTTAAATCTTGGAATTTTAAATCCTAGTGTACATAACACACGTTTGAACACATACTTCCTGATGTGTACAATATTAACTAAAGGCCAGTTCTGATTAGGTCACCATTTTATGAGATGAAGCAGCATCAGCAGCACATTTAACATAATTTTAAAACAGCTAAAACAGGTGTTGGCATCAAAGATACAGCAGGTTAAGTGTGGCTGTCATCTGTATTCAGAGATAATCAGCCATTCGCACAGTTTAGAAAAGGATGATCAGATATGACAGCATTTATATAAAACATTTGTGACCATAAGTGAATGTTTATTACACAAACATCCTTCTAAATAAAGCATCTAACTGAATGTCTGATTCACTAGTGCAGGCCCTCTTTCATCATCACAGAAAAATGGATCTTTAAACCCCCAGTTTGGCACCAGAGAAACACAGTCTTTGTTTGAAATGACAGAGTGAGCCTGCACAGCTACTGCAGAGAGTGATGGGAGCTCAGTGCTTGGGCACGAAGCTGGCAGCCCAATCACTGAACAATCCAAACATCTTATTCACTCCCTGTAATGGTACTTCACTAATTCTTTGTGACACTGCTGCATCCGGCAGCATGACACTTCATGCTCTTTGAGATGAATTCCTCCATAATTCCTGTTCTTTCTAACTCATATCCCAAAGTGAGAAAACAATTTAAAAGAGACAGTTGCAGTGGAGCTTCAGGAACAGCATAACAGGTTTGCCTTAGTGCATTCAAGTGCCTTGATTCTGGCCATGCTTGAGAGAGCATGGCATAAACAATTTCTATCCTCCAATAGGGAAAACAGACAACCTGAATTACAAACATGGAGAAAAGGAGGAAAAAAGAAGAAGGAACATGAAAGGAAGTGAAATAGGGCAGAAAACGGCAGAAGGGCCTTGGTGATGCTTGGTTTACCCAAACACACACTAAACTGACAGGCAGTCTCTACAGACAAATGAGAACACCGTGTGTGTGTGGATATGTATGTGTGTGTGTGTGTGTGTGTGTGTGTGTGTGTTTGTGTGCATGTGCCCCTGTGTGTTTTCTGTGTGGGTTTAGAAACAAAGGCTTCACTCTTACAACATCAAAGTTGGAACATAAAATGATCTGAAGGAAAGTAAACAAAGAAGAAAAGGAAAACATTCCCTCAACTCCTCTTGATGTAAAAAAAAACACAAACTAAATTCCTAAATAAACAAACTTCCAGCAAAGAGCAGACATTTTAACAGGGTTGGGCCGCACTGGAGGTTACAAAGAATGTCAACAGGAAAAATAGTTGAACATGGTGTAATACGCAAGCCTTCAGGAAAAGTAGCCAACCGTTTGTTGATTGTCAGCATCTTGCGTAGCCCGTTATGTGACTACTGTCCTCTGCTTACCTGATTTTCAAGGTCAGCCTTTTTGTTCTTGTTGGCTTCCAGGGTCTCCTGTAGTTTGGCCAATTTGTCCTGGACCTCCTTCAAAGCAGCCTGTTTCTTCTGGAGGCTCTCCATGGCCACCTTCAGCTTTTCTTCTGCAAGTGCCAACTTCTCTTTCTTAGGGGCCACTACCTTTGCTACTCTGCGAAGGAAAAAAAGTTTGCACCATGAAATGGCTCTTATTAATAAACATTTTTACACCTTTGGTTCGTTAAGCTTTAACTCACTTATCGTAGGAGTCCATGGCACAAACCCATTTACAGAGCCCCTCTGCAGCAGCAGAGGCCGTGCGGATCTTATCTGGAACAAAGTCTGGGTTGGTGATGTATTTGTTGCGGATGACGCTGACGTAGTTGGCTGGAATATTGTCTTTATTGTACTCATGAAGGCTCTGGAGAAACTTCATGTCTCCTAGCAGTTTTTTCGCTGGGCCCCAGAAGTCCTCCACCTTCTTGCCAGAGCCTGAGGGGTCTGGGATACGGTCTGGTTTTATGCCTTTCAGGATGCAGATGGCTTCCATCACCAGCTTGACACCAGCTGGAGGATTCTTCATGGATTTAACTAAAGTTATATCCTACAGAGTGTGACACAGATTGATTTATTGGATATTGGCGGTATGCATTAGTTTAAAAAGTACATAGTAAGAACATTCATCAAGACACCAAGAGACACTGCTGGTGTTTATTACTTAAAGGGATAGTTCACCTAAAAATGAGAATTCAGGTATTTATTTACTCACACTCATGCCATTGTAAAGCTGTATGCCATTATTTCTTTTGTGAAACACAAATGAAGATATTATTAAAAAAAAAAAAATTCCAGTGGAAGTCAATGGTCACCAAAACTGACTGGTTACCAACATTTTTCAAAATTATCTTCTTTTGTGTTCCACGGCAAAAATAAAGTCATACAAGTTTTAGAAGGAGATGAGACTGAGTGAATGATGACAGAATTTAACTCTCTAACTCATGCTAGAATGTGTTTCTTTGGCCAAAAACAGTCTGAGAGCTCTTTGTTGCTATAAACATTTTGTATGCATCATAAATTATAATTAGTCAGTTGTAGTTTCCTCCAACCTGTGTGGTGAGAGTATTCAAAGCAGCCAATGCAGCTTCCAGAATGGGTACAGCAACCGCCAGATCGGCGTCACATTCATCTTTAATGGCCTTGGCAGCCATTGCCTGCTCATTAGCCTCTGCTTCATCCACGCGGACCACTTTCTCTGTCTTGGACACCTCCACAGACTCTCGCTGGATGACCACCATCATCTCTTCCACCTCTTTACTGGCCACACGCAGCTGAGGCTGAAGGGCCTCCAGCTCTACCTGCATTGTGGACACCTGAGTAGCAGCCGATTCCAACTTCTCGAGACCAACCTCATAACGACTCTTTAGTTTCATGACCTCACTGAAACAACAGAAATCAATAACAACATCATCATCACTGGCAAAAAATGCTGCTGCTTATCATACAAAGAGTTCACATGCTAAAATGTGACACAACCTAATTATTCAAACCTAATCAGTCAGTATGTAAAGCCATTACATTACATTCTAATGTAAAGCCTCTAAGAGCAGGATGGCTTACGCTCTTTTTCCCTGGAGTAGATGCTTAAACATAGAAATGAGCTCCAAATACGAGGTTGGTGTGACATAATTGTAGCGCTGCAGCTCCGAAAGGAAACATGCAGAGAGATTGATGGTGGATGTGTGGAAGCTTTTGCACATGCTGATACAGCCTTCCCGAGCAGTGTCTGTCATTTCAACGTCTTCCAAGAAACGAGACGCCACAGCCTGCAGCGCATCTTCTGGCCAGCTCTTTTGGAACATAATGATTCATTACGCTTTTAATTTTTGACTGTAGCAATGCAAAATAAAAATTAAACATGAAATAATTATTGAATCCGTCAAAACAATTTGTTTAAAACAAGTGTTTAACATTTATATCACATTTTGAACCAGAGTTATTATTGTCAACTAAAATTAAAACCATAAACAATTACTTGAAATAAAATAAATGTTAACTGAAATAAAATCTAAAAAACGTATTATATTTAACTTATTTTATTTCACATTTTCTTTTTTTGCTTAGTTTAATGTGAAGTACTAAATAACTAAAACTGTAATAATAAACTGAAAAAAAACCTAATAAAAATGACAAAACAAAATTACTAAAACTTTAAAGGGGTCATGAACCGCCTTTGTGTTTTATTTTGTACTGTTCTCTGAGGTCCACTTATAATGTTATCAAGATGTTTACATAAAAAACATCAGTAATAAGCTATTATTTAGAATTAATAAGCTATTTTCTGTCCTGTTTTGACCCCCCTCATCAGAACACTCTGTTTGAATAGGCGTGTCGGATTGTAGACTCTGAAGTAAATGCTCAGTGCTATGATTGGCTAACAGTTGTGTATGTTTGACAGCGACATTCCTCATAAATGGATGCTGGTGTGATTTAGGTCAAAAACGCATGAATCACACAATACATATCAAACGATCTGTAAGAAGAGACAAAGCAATAGAGACCATGTATTGAAAACACTTACACTTGTGTTGCGTCATTACTGTCAGATTCAATATAGCTGGCACAGCATCATCTTTTAGTTTCAATCTTTTTGAAAATCCCGCGTTGAATTGTGCCTTGTTTGTAAACAAATCCACGGTAAAATGAAGTGAACAAAGGACCAAGTTCTTACTGACGCGGTCTGGAACTTCATTAAAAATTAAGTTCATTCACTCTTTCCTAACACTGGGAAATCAGAAGGAAGGCAACGCAAACACGTTTCCCCTTCAAGAACTTGAGCTGCGTCGGAAACGCTGGGGGTGTTCCCAAAGCGTTTCCGACGCAGCGTCTCGTTCCCTCGGGAACCATGGTTACATTCGTAACCTGGAGATGTTCCCCTTCAGGAACTCGAGCTGCATCGGTAACGCTTTGGGAACGCCCCCAGTGATACCGACGCAGCATCTCGTTCCCTCTGGGAACCATGGTTACATTCGTAACCTGGAGACGTTTTTCTACAGCTTGGCACTGCACAGCATCTTGTTTTATTCGGAGCCATCTTTATCGTTTGGTTTCTGCATAGACCTGTGCATAAAAACTACATGTGCTCTCGTAAAAACTCTCTCGTAAAAACTGCACGCGTGAATTGGTGGGTGGGGCTAAACAGACAGGAGGCAGTGATTATCCACACTATTACATCATAGAGTAGAACATTCCAAAAGCTGCCGTTTTGGCAAACGCCCTTCAATATAAGCGGTTTTAGACTAACGACAAAGTTTTGAGTTCTGAAACTTACAGAATGTTTTTATATGTAGTACAATTACCTCTTATATATCAAAAGATTAAGGACATTTTGGATTCTCAGTTCATGACCCCTTTAACTAAAATTAAAATAAAAATGGAAAATCTAAAAATAAAAGCAAATTCAAAATTTTCATACAAACTAAAATAGTATATTAATGATCCTAAAAACATTCACATTCACACCAACCTGAAACCAGTCAATAGTGCAGCAGTTAATGAGAGCAGGGAAACGTCTCAAGCGGCTTCTGAACGTGTCACCAATAGGACTCATGGCCAGTACCACATGCAACTGGCTGCGGCAGCGCTCCAAAAACATGTTAAAGAGAGCCAGTGGGCTGCCATCCGTCTGCTTATCACGCTCACGCTGACGGTCCAAGACACGCATGCGCTCACAAATCTCCTGCTTCTCATCTACGGCAAAGAGATTGGGAACCTCGCCAGTGTTTAACAGGTTACTCACATCTTCCAAAAATGACTCCAACTTAATTTGGGTGTCTGTGAAAAGGAAGACTCCATGAGTTTCCCCAGATGTCGATTTTTGCATGATGAGTTTGAGGTCATCGCGCCACTCTGTAACCCCATAACTCTTGGAGATCTCCACCTGAAAGAGTTCGGCTTCAGCCATGTGGGCGGCCAAGCGTGTCAATGACTGGCGGCCGCTCCCTCCGACTCCTACTAAGAGAGCGTGACCACGGGGCTGTTTGAGAATCCGGGAGATGCGACATACATGTTCAATGGCGAACCGGAAAAGTACAAGATTCATGGGAGCCTTGCTGATATTGTTGTACTCTTCAAGATGGGTCTCCACCACCTGACGGAGCTTCTCAGGGTCACCCACCTCACGGTATTTCCGGTCCTCACCTTTGGGGTCATGGAAATCACAGAACATGAGGCTTCGAAGGTCGTCTTCAGTTACATGCCCATCTGCGTCACTGTCCAGATGCTTGAAGAGCTGATGGAAGTCCTCTTTCAGGTGAGACTTGGATACTTCTTGCAGGAAGCCCACCATCCATGCACAATCAGACGGATGCACTAAGCGGTCATAATACACCCTTAGGACCTGCATGAGAGGCATGTTCTACATTAGTTTATTGCTTTTATTATGATATGACCTATTAAAATTGTGTTTGCAGTTACCTCATGCACCCATAAGCGTTTTATGGCTGTAGGGTCATCAGCAGTCTCTGGTTGTGATAAGCAGATCCCCTGGATGACACGGGAAAAATCTCGAAGGTTGAAAAGGTAGTGGGACTTGGTCGGGGTTGGTAGGAGGTTTTTGGTGGCCTCCTGGTACACAGACATGGTGGCACTGATGATCTGAGAGGTGATGCTGGCGAACGGTTTGGGAAATGGAAATCTGAAATCAGGTAAAAACAGGAAATGTATTTAACAAATGAATTTATTTATTAACCACATTGGTATGGAGCACCATTACCTAATGGTCAAGTGCCAGTCCAGAATTCTTGAGAAGATGGTGAACATGGTTTTGTCATCAAATTCATTAATGGTCACTGTGTTGAAATGACGTAAAAATCGAGGAGTCACGGGGTTCCTACCTCCACCTGCATGTGACAATGGACATGACGACATGTAAAAGCAGACTTGTTATCCACTTGTTGGTCCATCCTATCATATCAGGCTTGTTTACCTTCTATGCTATAAAATAATTATTTCAAAGTTGCATACAACAATGATTTGCTTCATAATGCTTGACACATTTGTTTTACTGTGACCAATAATATTTAACTTTGTTTGATTTATGTGAATTATATTATTTTATCATCTTTATTATTTTCTTCTTGTCTATACATTTATATGCTCCAAAGCAATTTTGGCTTGCGATACTGAACTAAACACTATTTGCTCTGAATAAAGACTGTATTAGCATATAAAAATGACATAAACTCACCAGGCGGACCCATGGCACACATGATCTGGATGTCCACTAGGTTGATCATGGAGCAGTCCTTCATGTCATACCAGTTCCAGTGGTCGAGCCACTGACGCAGGAGCTCCACTGGAGGCTGGGCTCCATAGGTTTCTCTTGCTGGCATGTTCACATCATCCACAAACACCACCTCATCAAAGTAATCGAAAGGCAAATTAGAAAAAGTTAAAAAATGACATGAATCTTTTTTAACATTAAGGTTAATGTAATTTTGAATGCTGTAAGATAATGTGCTGTTAATGGCGATTAAATACATGTGAACTTGTGAATCAAGAACACATTTTTTCTCCCATTTAATTTAGAGGCAATTAAGAACTCATTTTCACTATGCAGCTAGAATTTTGGGCACAAATTATGGTCATAAATGGCTTTTGAAATTCTATGAAGGATTGCTTAGTAAAAATTGATTGAGATTGAATCATAACTACTCCGATAACAAAAGTGTAATAAAAAGATGTTTAAAGTATACCATTTTCTTTCCCAGAGGAGGGCCAAACACTCCTTTCCTTCTCTTATCGAGTTTAGACATAATAATGTTTTGGGTCTGTGCTGCTGTTGTTTGGGCTGAGAAGTTGATCAACAGAGGACTGTACACATCCTTCTCCAGATGATTCAGCAAAAAGTCCTGTGGGAGATTTGGAGACACTTAATTAGCTCTAGTTAGCACAGGTGTTGCATCAAAATTCAGGGTTTTTTTAATCAACACTTCCAACTGTGTAAGAAGTGTTGAGAAAACAGTTTCCACTGGGAGCCTGTCACTACCATTATGAAAGATGCTGTAAGTTGTACATGAGTCTATAAAACTATTTTATAAAACCGTTGCACCTGACATAATTATGCTTGTGTTTCAAATAAGTGAGTAGCAAGCAAACTGAATAACTAAATATGTGCTAAAAAACATTGCAATATGGATGAATTATATATCTTTATAGTTTAACAGTTGACCTAAAGGATGAAAATCAACAACATGCAAAACCAACATAAAAGCTCTTATTATGAAACTGCCACATGTCAACTAATTAATGTAAATATATGTACATTTCAGAGAGACCTCATTCATTATAGTCTGAGGAGCCTGCGGATTGCTCCACTTAAGCCTGACACATACAATCTCTTTCATTCCTTAAAACTCTGTGAAAGAGCCATGTGGCAGAGTGTGAAGAATGATGATTTAATATTCATGTTCTAAATGAGAGTGATGAAGTCATCGGCACCTGCAGGCATTTCATACTCAAAACATGTAGACTTTTAGAGTCCTTCAAAATTTTGCCAAAGAATCACAAGGGGGAAATTGTGAAAAAATTAAACAGGAAGAGAACGCAGAGTGAAAACATGAAGTGAGTGGGTAAGTGACTAGAAAGAATGAAGGAATCCTATTAAAACTAGTTCTGAAATAAATAGTGATTTTGAACAACATTACTCGGTTTCTTCAGGCTTTTCATAACACAAGATCTGATGTCTAAACTCCAAACTATGGTCTGCCACACATAACCGTTGTGACAGCTTAGATTTTGTGTTGATGCCACCCATGTGTATTTAAGACAAAAGCATAATGAGTCCGGGAATAGATGAAGCTGTTTGGCTTTCTAAACGTGCCACCGACCAAAAGAAAAGCACTGAGTGTGTTCAACTTTTGTGGAAAGGGGGTGGGGATGCATGGTGGACCACAGTTGGTCTTGAACCATTGACTAATTTTTCATTAGTCATCCTTGAATGCATACACATTCAAGATCATGTTAGAGGTTTCGTGCTCAGCTGGGCAATGTGGTATGTAGAGACAGTTGTGTCATGCACCTATTTTCTTTTGGACAGGGGCACCAGTGGCACTTGCTGAGATAGGTGAGCTTATACAGGGACTAAAAGGCAATAGACACCTTTATGACACGTTTGTCTAGTTGTAAATTTTTCATTCAGTGGGCAAGGGACAAAAGTTCAAATCCTGACTAAATACATAATACTTAGTAAACTTATTTTATATTATATTTTACATAAGCAGCATGTCTCAGTGAGTTATTTTAATAATTTTGAAATGCCTGAGCCAAAGTACATCATCAAAACAATTTGGTATAATAACCTCCCATAACTTTATCACAGGATTGCATTCAACACTGCATTCCCAAACATCAGGCAACTGAAAGCAAGGTACAATGACAGCGTTTGCTATTGTGTTTCACCAGGCAAAATATTTATTATGTAGGAAAAAAGAGCCACAGGCTCCTTTATTACTATTGATACAAATTTTGCGCATATGTTAAATGCGCAACTTTGGATGGAAACATAGCTAATGTGAACTAATTAATGCTGATAATTAGGGATGCACCGATACCACTTTTTCCAGTACTCGCCCGATACTGATACTTTTATTTTTGGTACTTGCCGATACCGAGTACCGATACCGATATTTTTATTGCATTTGTACATTTTTTAAATATTGGGTACAGAAACCAAAAGAGTATGTATAATGTCAGCTGGTTAACTTCATTTATCAAATAGATAAGAGTCTATAAGAGAGATATAATTCAGACAACTTCAACATTTCTCACATTCACAGTTTATTCGCTATAGTTTAGAACATGGTAATAAAATATGACAAAAACTCAGAGTTAAACTGTTTCAGAACAAATTCAGCTTGACAATGTTAGATAACTTTGATAGAAAGGTATGTAATGAATTACAATCAACCAAAAATTATTCAGATAGTATGACAGTATTTACAGAACTATCAATACTTAGTCGGGCAACCTTTAGCCTTAATGACAGCCTGTAGTCTCCTGGGCATGCTGTCACCCAGCTTCATG